TGGGTTTAGTGTTTGGTTGTTAACTACAGAATAGGAAGTGGAGATAGTTGTTCCTATTTTTATGTTTATCTTTTAGCATGTTCTAAGAAAGTGGAGATGACCACTACATATGTTTTATCTATAAATTAACATATGCCGTTTGCAGTGTAATAGTGTAGTGATTTAGAATCTTTGTTTTCAGAAATAATATATATCAATTTTAGTCTTTTTTGGCTTCTAAAAACAGAGCAAAGTTGGTTGTCCTCCTTTTTAATTTCCAACATTTTTGGTATCAGAGCACCCGGTTCTTTCGTGTTGGGCGTGTTGGTGGTTTTGAAGAATTGTTGCAGCAGCAAAATTCAAGGAAAGGTATTTTCTTCAGCAAATTCAAGGAGAGGTATTTTCTTGTATTTAGTAATTCATCATGTCAATTGGTATGAATGCTCTTAATCTCTCACAATTTTTAATCCCTATTTTTACCGGAGAAAATTATGAATTTTGGAGCATTAAGATGAGGACCTTTTAATTTCACAAGATTTTTGGGATCTAGTCGAATCTAGCTATGCAGATATTGAGAGCTCTAAGGCTGCTAAGAAGGCAACTGATTTGAAGTCGACTGAGTTGAAAGAGCTTCGTAAAAAGGATGCGAAGGCTTTACTTGTTTTGCAACAGGCTGTGAAAGATACAATCTTTCCTCGTATCTCAAATGCCACGAAATCAAAGGAAGCTAGCTTGGACTATTTTGAAGGATGAATTTCATGGAGACAACAAGATAACCATTGTGAAACTCCGGACCTTCAGTAGAGAGTTTGAGACTCTTCTCATGAAAGGTAGTGAATCTGTTCAAGATTTCTTTTCTAGAGTTTCTGTTGTTATAAATCAAATGAAAGCATTTGGAGAGGAAATTTCTGATCAGAAAATTGTAGAAAATATTTTAAGAAGTCTCCCTTCAAAATTTGATCATGTAGTCACTGCTATTGAGGAGTCTAAAGATTTAAAAGTTTACTCTCTTAGTGAACTAATGGGTTCTCTTCTATCTCATGAAGAAAGAATTAATAGATCATCACAGAAAAATTTTGAGCAGTCAATTCAGGCCAAGGTGGAGATTTCTAACAGAGAGAAAAGTGTTAAAGGCACTTCCACGGATTAGAAAAATGCAGGACGAGGCCGAGGAAGAGAAGGCTATCGTGGTCGTGGAAGAGGATGTGGCAGATCTGGTATGGGTCGTTAAAATGGTGATAGAGACAACCATCACAGTGAAAAAGGGAATTACAGACAGAATTATAAGGGAAAGCAATGCTATTACTGTAAGAAATTTGGCCATACTAAAGCATATTGTTGGGAAAAGGAAAAACAAGAAGCTAATTTTACTGAATCGAAGGAAGAAGTAAGTAATTTATTTCTTACTTGTTTAAATTCCAATGAAAGCAAAGATGATATATGGTTGTTAGATAGTGGTTGTAGTAACCATATGACAGGAGAAATAAGTTTCTTTCGTACTCTTGATGAATCAGTAAAGTTGCAATTTGGCTTGGTGATGATAAACAAGTTCAAATTGAAGGTAAGGGAACCATTGTGGTTAAGAGCAAGACAGGTATTGAAAGATTAATTAATGATATTTTCTATATTCCTGATTTAGCTTATAATCTGTTGAGTGTTAAACAATTGACTCAAAAGGATATACTGTCTTATTTCATGATGATATATGTGAAATTAAAAAGGGGAAATCTGATTTGCCTCTTATTAAAGTTTACATGACTAAGAACAAGATGTTTCCTCTGGATCTTTCATGTTTTGATGATTGTGCACTAGTTGCCAATGTTAATGATGGGTCGAGGCTTTGGCATTTGTGTTATGGACATTTGCATTTTAATGGGCTGAAATTGTTGAGTCAGAAAAAGATGGTGTCCGGTCTTCCTTCTATTATTTGTATTGATGATATTTGCAAAAGTTGTATTTATGGGAAGCAGCATCGCTTACCATTTCCAGTCGGAAAAGCTTTAAGAGCAAAGATGCCTCTAGAACTCCTTCATGCAAATAGTTGTGGCCCAACAAATACTCAATCCTTAAACAATATTAGATATTTCTTGTTGTTTACTGATGATTATACTCGCATGAGTTGGGTTTACTTTCTTACTTACAAATCAAAAGCTGTTGAGAAATTTCAGGAATTTAAAGCTTTTGCAGAAAAAGAAGGTAGGCATGTTTTAAAAACTCTTCGAATTGACAGAGAGGGAGAATTCTTATCAAATCAGTTTGAGTCTTTTTGCAAGCTAAAAGGCATCCAAATGCAATTGACGGTAAGAAGAACTCCTGAACAGAATGGGGTCGCTGAAAGAAAGAACAGGATAGTTGTGGAAATGGCTAGAAGTATGTTGAGTGAAAAGCGGCTTCTAAATGATTTTTGGGCAAAAGCAGTGGCAACTTTAGTCTTCCTCCTTAATATATCTCCAACAAAGGCGGTGCGTAATATAACTCAATATGAAGCTTGGTGGAAACGAAAGCCCGATGTAAGTCGTTTAAAAGTTTTTGGTAGTATTGCTTATTCTTTGATCGACTCAAATGACCGTACCAAGCTTGATAGGAAAAGTGAGAAATGTATCTTTGTTGGGTATAGTGATGAAACGAAGGGCTATCGGTTGTGTAATTCGGAAACTAAGAAACTAATTATTTGCAAAGACGTTGTTTTTGATGAAAATAGTTTCTGGAATTGGGAGAGTGAAAAAAATCAGATTGTGCCATTTGTTGAAGATGAAACTGAGCCGACATAGAGTATGGAGAAAGTAATGACTCCAAAATCCTCTCCATCATCAAGTTCTTCGGGGAGCACTCCTTCAAGGGATATAAGTAGTGAAGACAGCAACCACATGGATCCTACTCTTGATACTGATACACCTCCACGTAAGTTTCAGTCTTTGAAAGAAATTTATGAGTCATGCACTTTTACTCTTATGATTTCAGAACTTGTGAGTTATGAGGAGGCACAAGGAATACAATAATAGGAAAATTCTATCCAAGAAGAAATGGCAGCAATTGAAAAAATAAAATATGGGAGCTAGTTGGCTTGCCACTTGAGAATGATGCAATTGGTGTGAAATGGGTTTACAAAGTGAAGTACAATTCAGATGGTACTGTGCAAAAATTCAAGGCAAGGCTCGTTACGAAAGGGTATGTGCAACAATATAGTATAGACTTCTTTGACACTTTTTCCCATGTTGCTCGATTTGAAATTATCAGAATGATTTTAAGCTTAGTAGCTCAAATGAAATGGCAAGTATTTCAATTTGATGTTAAATCTACTTTTTTAAATGGGTATTTGGAAGAAGATGTGTATGTTGAACAACCATAGGGATTTGTCATCAAAGGAAATGGGGAGAAAGTCTACAAATTAAAAAAGGCTTTATATGGATTAAAGCAAGCTCTACGAGCGTGGTACAGCAGACTTGATTCATATCTTCGTCAAAACGGGTTTCATCGAAGTGATAGTGCGCCTACTTTGTATGTGAAGGCAAAAGGTAATGATATTCTCATTGCATGTGTATATGTGGATGATATTATATACACTGGATCTTTTAGCTTCTTCATTAAAGAATTCAGGGAGAGTATGATGCAAGAGTTTGAAATCTCTGATTTGGGGTTATTGCATTTTTTTCTTGGTCTTCAAGTTCAACAAACTAATGATGGTATTTTTATCTCTCAAGAAAAATATGTATTAGATTTGCTCAAGAAATTTAATATGTCAAATTGCAAGATTTTTCTACTCCCATGAATACAAGTGAGAAGTTATCAATGAATGATGGGACTCTAAAGGCCGATCAAATGGTTTTTAGAAGCATGGTTGGAGGATTGTTGTATTTGACTCATTCTAGACCGGATATCATGTTTCCAGTGAGTTTAATCTCAAGATTTATGCATAATCCTTCTACACATCATCGTGAAGCAGCAAAACAGATTCTTCGCTATGTTCGGGCAACAAGTAATTTTGGGATTTGGTATAAACCAATTCCTTATTTTAAATTGCTTGGTTTTACTGACAGTGATTGGGCTAGTTTTACAGATGACAGGAAAAGCACAAGCGGTTTTATCTTCAATCTTGGTTCGGGAGCTGTGTCTAGGGTTTCAAAGAAACAAGCAACAGTTGCATTATCATCTTTAGAAGCTAAGTATTATGCAGTTTCATTAGCTATTTGTCAAGCTATTTGGATGCGAAGAATTTTGGAAGACTTACATCAATGTCAGAGAGAGAAGACAGAGATCTATTGTGATAACCAGGCTACAATTGCAATGACAAGGAATCCAATTTTTCATGGAAGAACAAAGCACATTGAAATCCGTCACCATTTCATTCGGGATGTTGTTGCGGAAGGAATAATTATGATGAAGTATTGTTCAACCAATGATCAAGTTGCAGATGGATTCACCAAAGCACTCTCTTATATGAAATTTGTTAAATTTAGATCTTCTCTCAGTGTTTCTAGTTTTTGAATCAAGGGGGAGTGATGAAAATTGATGATGCAAATCCATCCTTGGTGTAGTTAATTCACCCAAGTTTTTAGTGTCCTACTTTAGTGGGTTTAGTGTTTGGTTGTTAACTGCAGAATAGGAAGTGGAGATAGTTGTTCCTATTTTTATGTTTATCTTTCAGTATGTTCTAAGAAAGTGGGGATGACCACTACATATGTTTTATCTATAAATTAGCATATGCCGTATGCAATGTAATAGTGTGGTGATTTAGAATCTTTGTTTTCAGAAATAATATATATCAATTTCAGTCTTTTTTGGCTTCTAAAAACAGAGCAAAGTTGGTTGTCCTCCTTTTTAATTTCCAACAAGTTTATCACAGTCAGTTCAAGATCAAGCTTTGAAGCTCTTGCACCAACCAGCAAAGAAGATCAAATAGAGGATAATTTCTTTCTTTTGTAAAGAATATCCAATTTTTTATAAATCAATAAAATCATTATTTACTCAGTATTTCGTTCTTTGATTTGTAGTTACTAAATTTGTATGAACGCATACAATGGAGATACAAAGATTATTATTGAAGGCCCAAATAATGCGACAAATCACAGAGATTAAAAAGGTCACTCTAATGTTTGCGAAAGAGAAATCCTAAAGATGACAGTACATAGGTGGTGATATATATAAAATTATTACAACTAGTATATAATATTTTATAATTAAAGACGACATTCCATGTGGATTGAGGCATTAGGATTTTTCATAAGAACATATTGTGTAGATGGTCTGCAAAAGCGTGAGCACAAAAAGGACAAATGCAGCAATGACCGACAACACTATCCATAAATTACCAGCACAATTACGTTTCAACGTCCCCAATTCTTTCCTCCAAGTTTTGCGGAAACGCTTCATCTGATACAATAGGTCACCGTAATAGAAATGTCGGGGAACAGCAGCATTCCTGCAAATACCGTTGAAGATTTTCAACACAGATTCACTTGTACCCAAATGGTTACATATGACTCCTGCATTTTCAAGAATTTGAACGTCCTCCACGGAGTCCATGAGGATATCCATAAGGAATGCGTGCGACGTGAAATAACTGATCTTAATCCATGGATTACATTGCTCGAAAGCAATGAGGTTTCTCAAGAATGACTCTGTGAAATTATGGATGGAGAAACGTGGGATTTCAAGACGGCCTCGCCAAAAAAAAACATAACTATCATGATTGAGAAACTTCACATCGAACAGGTTGAATCCTCTTTTATTATTACTCTTCCGCAGCTTGATTCCTGTAATGCGAAGTTGTGTTGCTGTTGCACCTTGGTATCCCACTGGTTGCTCCTCTCCCTCTCCCCCTCCCCCTCCTCCTGCAAAATATTAATTAGAACAGTTAACCTTTGCATTAGTTCTACTAGTTGAGTTGAACACGACTCTTTGATATATGATTGTTATCTCAAATATGATTTGTTTGATAATTTTGCAGAGATCGACATGAATATGATTGTTATCAAAAAATTAACATAATTAAGTACTAGTTGTTGTACTACCTCGGGGATCCTTCACAGAAACAGGAGGTTGGTAGCAAATGTATATGAGATGGAGTATATGCAGAGGAGCTTCCTCATTTTTTATAGTTATGTCACCAGTGTCTCCTAACCCCATTATATCACCAAAGAATCCAAGGAGATATTCAATAAGGGAAGCGTTAGGGACAGGTGCAGGAGTAGGGGTAGTGTTAGGGGTACGGCTAAAGGTACGGATACGGAATGATGATCGGACGCTCCCACTTACACCTGGTGGGATACCTTCACTTGTAGTTGCAGTTGCTGGGAGACGTGTCACCGTCAGTCTGAACAATTCTTCAAGAACTTTGAAGGGAATCTGGTTCTCGAGTAGTAGCAAGTCACGTTGGACGGCAGAGTACCTTAAAGGATTATGCAAGATGGGGTTGTCCTGTTCCTTTTTGTGATGCCTGTATACAAGTTCCATAATGAAGCAACCATCAATTAATATCATTCCTAGAAGATTGGTGATGGTAACATTTTCAGCATTTTCCTTGAAGTGATCTGGATAGCATTTCTTCAAAGTGTTTTGCATGTTTAACATAGCTGCCTCACATTCTTTACGTGTTTCCTCTGGATTCTGAGTTCTTTCAAATAGGAAACACATGTACCTCAATTTGTCAGCCTCCATTGCTTGTAGATATTCGTTTCCACTGTGAAGAGGTCCAATAGATACAACACTAGGGGTATAAGCTTTTTCATTTTCTTCACGAAGCATATTGGGGACTCTTTTTATGACGAGATCTCTAGGGGCGTGTTCAATATTTTTTGTGTTGTCTTCGATTTTCTTATCTAGAGAACTTCTAAGCTGATCAGCTATCGTTGAGTTAGAACTAGAATTTTCTCCACGCTCCAACGGCATCTCTAGCTACTTGACTTTCTCTCTCTCTTGGTTTGTGTTTGTGTAGGTGTTCACTGTGACAACATGTTCATAATATAGTTACTGTCCTGTATACAGGTAGTGGCGCAATTAGAGTATTCAATTTTTTAGCAACAAATTAAATTATGTTTACACAAATAATGAGAACCCACCTAGCTAGCTAGCTAATATAGTGACAGTACCTTTAAGAATTGACTACAGCCATACAACAAATACATCATAATTACAACATGTATATTTATACATACCATTAATCGACTAATTTGACTTTGTTGAATCAATAAAGGATCTGCATTCTGAAACAAAATTATTAAAAGTGACAATTAATAATTTAATACTAAGAAATACTATATATATATATATATATATATATATATATATATATATATATATATATAGGAAAGAAGTTCTGGCTCTGCCTTGCCTTGAGAGTGAATAAAACAAATGATGACAGCAGAATAAAGACTACAAAAGTGAGTGCAAAGAAACTAAACACAACACACACTGAGATAGGGACGCTTGAGGCCTCAACGCTGGCGAGTTTTGTGCCAAAAGTTCATAGATATATGCGGAATTAAGAGAGAGAGAGAGATATATATAGAGAGAGAGAGAGAGGGAGAGAGAGGGAGGGAGACTGGCGTACCTGATTGTCAGAACGATGACAGTTCACTTCCTGGTGCTGTAATGGAATGCCCAAAAATGGCTCTTTATAATCACTTGGGCAGATATTATAATACAGACATATAATAATAGTAGTATTTTTATTTAGGGTCTTTTGGTCTAGGTGAGTTTTATAAAAGTAAAGTCTTTATATACTTTTACTTTGGTGATGACCGTAAAAAATTTGGTTTCTGTCATCAATCGCTACTGCCCAATCAATTACACAAATACAAATAATATGGGAAGCCGGTGTTATAATGAAAACAATTGAAGAAGGTCTCTTTAATATTGACACAACTCATAAAATGTTTATTTTGCTCAAAATTAAATTGTTTCAGGAATTATTGTGGATAAAAATGTCAAGACATCATATTTAGAAAGATAAACACCTTAACTTGCACTCAATAGTCATATAGTTCATATAACACAGCTATATAATACAATTTTGAGACATTTACGGTTATAAAATCAAATTGCTTCGATCGGCACTTGTTATCTAGAAAATGCTAATTTTATCTTAGGAGTCGAGTAATCTCACATTTGGCAAAGCAAGAATTGCGTGTTGATGGGTGAAACACTTTTTAATTTTAAATAAAAGGTCTCTAATGCTTTACTTTACAATGAATTAGGCAAGGTATATGTTGATTCTCAATTACTTTATACTAATTGAAGCAAAGTATATTCAAAATTTTCTTTTACTTTACACTAATTGAGACAATTTATATATTGATTTTCTTTTTAGGCTCCATTTGTTTGAACGAAAAATATTTTTCAGAAATATTTTTTTATTTTATGGTGTTTGGTTGTCATAAAATATTTATTAAGAAAAAAAATATTAAAATTTAATAAAATCGACAAAGTAAAAATAAAAATATATATTTTTCAAAAATAATAATTTACGTCAAAACAAACAGAGCCTTAATTACACTGATTGAGACACTGTATATAATTGATTCCCTCCTGCTCAATATGAGACCCATGTTTTCTTGTGCTTTTGTGCTGTTCAAGCGTTGCATGCTTTGTTTGCTCATCAACTAAACTGCTCCAAAAAAAAGAAAAAAAAATCTAAACTGCCCCGCCTCTTGACAAGCGTTCCATGTTGGGTAACTTGTTGGGCCCATTTCTATGATATTGGGGCCTGATTTGGGCTTTAATCCTGTATGTGCAAAGTGTCCAATTTATCAAGTCACATGCCCATTTATTTAAAATAGACTCTGATTTGTGTTTCGCCTCTACATGCAAAGTGTCTTCTACACCTGTCCATCAACTCAACTAAGCCCACTCCTTTGATTATAAGGATTATGGTAGAGTTCACTTGCTCCTCAATTCTTGCTTGTCCAGCTCACTGGTCAACCCATTTTCCCCAATATTTTTAACAACTATGGATCTATATCAACAGTGGCGGATCCAAGGGGAGCTTGGGTGGGCTTGAGCCCTGTCAAAATTTTTTTTTATTTTTTATTTTAGTATAGGTATATTTATCCCAATGTTTTAAAAAAGAAAAAATTAGTAATAGTATTAACCCTCCAATTTTAACCTATCCAAACAAGCCCAATATTTAAGCCACAATTTTAAATCAAAGACCCAACCAAATAGGTCAAAACCAAACAAGCTCTAAACAATCACAAAGACATAATACATAAAATTCTTAAATTCCTAATCTTGCACAAATCAGAAAACTCACTCCTTCTCTCCCTCTAAAGTCTAACCTTATTTCTTCTAAAATTTTCCAACTCTTTAATCTTTCGATCCCCAAATCCCCTTATTTAATATTGGCACCCCCATTAATAATTCCTAGATTCGCCCTTATATATCAAAATCCACATCCCTTCCAAATGTCGCGGTTTGATTTACACATGCCAACTCAAATGTGGCTACTTCTTATTGGTTTATATTTAGGGTACATTCGGCCCTCCCCCTCAATCGCTAGTTATTGATGTGTAAATAATTCTTGTCACAGCTACCATTCAAGTTCGCAATCTAGGACCATGGTTCAATGGATAATTCCTGGACCTGTATTCCTTAGATATGATCTAGTTTGATGGGTAACAATTATTAACCCAGAACCTAGCAATAATTGCACAAAATTGAAAGAGGACTTTTATTTATGAGTAGGCATATTTTGGCTTGGTCTGTTTCTGAGATTAATTAGGATTAAGTCCGTTCTAAAAATATTGAATGGTCAATTCTGTTTGATATATACATACCAATCAAATGAAAAATCAAAATCTCAAATTGATGTGATTTAGGGGATTTAATAGTTTTTTTATTTTTTTTATTTTTTATCATCTCATATTTTTATAATTATTATAAACACATATACGGCATACATATTAGATTATTTATTTTTATTTTTTCCTTAAACATGTTGCAGGGGCTCTTTTTTGCTCAGTAATAAAATAGTAATCCTGATTACGCGATGCATCACTCCCAATCCGGATTACGCGAGTAATCCTGCAGATTTAGAGGGCTGAAGGGTCTTCCTCGAGCCTTGTCCCATGTTGCCATGTCACTTCTCCCCTAATCAAGGGCATTAAATGTTGCTTGGCCGTCGATTGGTTAAGTCTGATACAGCATTAATTGTGATTTTAAGGTTTGCTGTCATAACGTGTATAATCTCATCAGCTTGTTAATTGGGCTTTGCTAAGAGCGAAGGCACTTCTTGACTTCTCATTCACCAATTCAAGATCCTCCTAAGTTTCCCAAATATGGACTCCTATAACACAGAGATCCTACCTCATCTCGTGCTAAGGAGCTCCGATCTCTCGGGTATCGCCAGGCGATACCCTAATTATAACAACACACATTACTACCGACCTATTATTACAGGTACTTACAATATATATATATATATATATATATATGTTTTAATTAACTTGACACATTTGAACATGATTGAGTGGATTAATTATTTGAGCGTCAAGATCCGCTCCGCCATCATAGTTTGCTGGGATGTATGTATGGTCTCAATGGCTAATTGATAGTTTAGTTTCTGACAGTAACTTCTCCCTATTAAAAATATTATTTTTTCAAAATCACATAAAGCAAGAACGTAACCGAAAGCGAATTCGAAAGCGACAGAATTAAGTTATAAATAATGACAATGGGAACAAAATCGCTCACGGAGTGTGAGAGCAGGAGCGCGTTCGGAACGTGGGAGTGATATCTGTTAACGAGGATCGTGTGACTTAGATTTTGCCTTTTTAGTTAAAAAATACAAAAAATAAAAATTTGTTTATATTGCAATTAAGAAACAAAAAAGACTTTCCACCTTAAAACTACTTTAATAAAATTATTTGATTTTCTTGCAAATGTAATTTATTGGATGCATTCAGAATCTCACTAGAGATTAATTTCCCTTCATCATTTTCTTTTTAGGTGAGATTTTATAAATTAAAATAATCTAATTTTCTGGAGATCATAATCTTTAAGTCTGCTAAATCGAGAAAAGGCATGCTTATGAGGGAAAATCAGCCAAGCTTACAGCATAACTGAAACAAGCTGGAACACCAGTAACAAGAGAGAAACCAAACAAAAACAAAAACAGCATCTTATGTAATTGAGAACGATAAGCTAATGTAATAGACCTAAAAATAATTGTTGTTCAATATATGGTCACTTTTACAGTAAATATTTAAATTTGGTAACTATTGTGTATATCTTTCTTTTCAGTCACAATGATATTGTTCATCTGATGTGAACTGTGAAGGAAAAGCTTGGACTTGAAGGGCCGCTATCAACATAAGAGACTATCCAACATAATAGAAATATCATGATTTTTTTTTTATTTTTTTATTTATTGAAATCCGTTATACGTCCTTTTAACTATTCAATGGAATCTAAGAAAACGTAATGGTGTGAACATATTAAATTCTCAACCTAAATCCAATCAATAAGTTTCCAATGGGACCTTATTTGAATTATTCAAGTAAGATCCCATCCCATGTTAGAAAAACATTGATTTATTTACGTGGGATCCCACTATGTTGCCTATTTATTGCTTGATGGGGGCGGCAGTCCCACTGAATTTGTTTTTATTTGTATTATATATTACTCCGTATATATTTTGTAAATTTTTAAAAATGTTGTTATTGAAATTATGAAAAAAGATATTAATATATTATAATATATGTTTGGATTAGACCTTTTCTCATTTTATAATTGTTTTTTTGTTGTGTATATAAATTTTACTAATTTTCCCTCTCAAAATTTTTTTCCTTCAATTTTAACTTATAATTCTCTGTAATCAAGGATTTTGTGACTTAATAGTATTTCCTCTATCATCCTAAAGTATAAGGTGATGGTTCAAGTTTCTAAAAGAGTAAAATGAGTGTTTGAGTTTCTTGTCGATGCCAAAATAATAATAATAATAAAAAATCTGCTTTCTCTATGCACCTCGCTCTCACATGTATTTCTTTTTTAACAAAAGAAAATCATGCAAATAAGTTATTTATTTGGTGTAATCTAATTAGGGAGTAAATTCTGATTTGGAGATCCTTACTTGGAATAGTTCAAGTTTACAATACAAAACAAGTTTTATTTATTAATTTTTAGGAAAAATTACATATTAATGAAGTCAAAGTTTCATATTTACTTAGAGACTGAGTTAAAGTTCCATATTTCTCTAAAATGGATTGCTGAGGTGGCACATGGTTTTTTACTGTTTAAAAAATTGTGGTGCCTAAAATGCCCTTCCCTAACAAAAAAGTAGTATCTTCAGTTCAAAAAAGTAGTACCTTCAGTTCAAAAAAGTAGTACCTTCGGAGAAAAAGTAGTACCTTCGTGGGTGTTTAAAAAACATGATACTTGGACGCCAAAAAGTAGTACCTTCAGTTCAAAAAAGTAGTACCTTCGAAGAAAAAGTAGTACCTTTGCGGAAGGGTATTTTAGGCACCACAATTTCTAAACAGTAAAAAATCATGTGCCACCTCAGCAATCCATTTTAGATAATTATGGAACTTTGACTCAACCTCTAAGTAAATATGGAACTTTAACTCCATTTATATGTAATTTTTCCTAATTTTTAATTATTGCAAGTAAGGTACTTTTAGGTTTGTTAAATTCTAACTAATTTGACTTGGAAAGACGTGGACACGAGGGGTCTCAAACTTTCCGATATTTTGAAAGTTTCAAATGATTGAGTAGTATCTAATTGAAATCCTACAATGTTTCTGTTTAGTCAATTTGTGTATGTTTGCTAGTGGTTTTTGCTTTTCTTGTTAGCTGGCTTTTGGAAATGGGACTGATCTAGTCTCTTTTATTCTGAAGCCGTGATCCCACTCTTGTTGTTGGTTAGTTTCTTTTAATAAAAATAAGGAAATATATATATATGTATATATATATATATATTAGTCCAACCTTAATTAGGGTCAAGTTCAAGAGACATATATAAATTTTGTCAAGAGACATTCTTGTTTATTTGTTGATTTAGATAAATGATGGGAACAAAATCAGACTTGTTTTGTTTTTTAACACAATTGGAACAGCTCTCTGTTTAGAAGTAAGAGTTAAAGCTCAAGTTAAAAATGTTCAACTCACAATTGGAAACTATTTAGGTTCTTTCTCTGAACAATTTGGTCATCATATCTAAAATATTGGAACAAAATCAAATTCTCAAAGACAATTTTGAAACAAATTGAAGAAGTTCCAGCAAAATTGAGCTCATATAGGAGAGATTGGTTAATTAAACACTAACAGTAATGATATATAATTATACGGTACAGCTTATATATATATATTAAAAAGATATTACATTTACATATGATCAGAGTACATAGCAAATTCAAATACAATTAATTCTCACAACTAGTACTAATGCTGTTTTTATTAAAGACAACATTAATTCTGGATTACTTGTGCTGATCCAGAAGAATAGGGAGAGAATATTGGTAGGAACATCCTAATATTATTACATATATTGCACACTTCAACGTAACAGATATATATATATATATAAAATTAATAATAAGAAAGCAAGGTGTAGATGGTCTGCAGCAATGTGAGCGCAAAGAGGAAGAAAGCAGCAATTATTGAAATGATCGTCCATGGACTACCAAAATAATCACGTCTCAGTTTTGCTGCAAATTTTGGCCAGCTTTGCTTGCAATAGTTGCTTACCTCCTTGCATGGCTCTTGGAAGCTGGAATCGTTTGGACTCACATTCTTGCAGATATTGTTGAAGACAAGAAATTCCTCTTCCGTTGATCCCAAACCATTGCGTATTATACCAACTTCCTCAAGCAATCCAACATCCTCTGGGGAGTTGATGAGTTTGTCCATGAGAAAAGCATGTGAAGTGAATTTTCGATCCTTTATACCAATGCAACTTTGCTCGAAAGCAATGAGGTTTCTCAAGAATGTGGCAGTGTAGTCATCAACGCGAAAAGGTGGGATTTCAAAACAACCCCTCTTACACACCCGAAAACAATAGCGTCGATCTTTACTGAACTTGATGTCGAATAGGTCTTCCAGATTACCTGCCTGGAACTTGACTCCTGCCAAGTCGAGTTGTGTTGCAGAATATTTGAAATCCGACCATGTCTCCATCCCCGTCTCGTCTTTCCTTGCAGCTTCCTTGACACCAGAATGCTTGTATGACATTTGGGGTGCCATATAATTCTTAATTGGGAGCTAAGAGTTGCATATTCCTATATGCTTCGTTTCTTGGGTTTTTTCAAGCTGCAGCTTCTTTTGAGAACGCTGCAGGTAGCTATCATGTAACAAATGGAGTATATGACAAATAGTTGCCGCATACTCTTCCTCCTGCTTTTTTTGTGTCCTCGGACGGCCTGGGGTATGAATTCACCATAACACTGACAGTATTTGCTTGTTCAATAATTCTAGTTTGGCCCAACATATTTTCAAAGAATGAAAATAGACATTTAGCAAGGGAGGGATAGACCTGGTTGGGTTCTGCAGCTTGGATGTAACCCATGGTAAGGTTGAACAATTCTTGAAGAACAAAGAATGGAATCTGGTTCTCAAATAGGAGCTGTGGAGGGAAAAAAACTCCTTCCAATAAAAAGCGCACACGTCATCACTACACATATCTATATTCCAAGGACATATAAGGCCCATCATGCTCAAGCCCAAATTGAGGGTATTTATAGCCCGAGACCATTGTTATTTGTCCTCCAACCTCCATCAAGGCCGAATCAAGAGGTCATCAGCCCAACTTGTTAATATTTAACATCCGGTCCGTTACTCAAGCCCAGCCGGATCAAAATATGTTCAGCCCAGTTATTCAAGAATGCACAAGTCCTACCAGTTGAAGGATTTACCGTAGAAGGAAAATTCTGAGATAGGAAGTTCTGTACAAGGCAAGTTCTATGTATGGAAAATTAGACAATGGAAATAACTCTATTAGTAAAGAATGTTTATATAGAAAGAATTGGAGGGCAAGCAACGCGAGTCCTACCATAATTTTACAATCTTTTGTATATAAATAGAGGCTTAGACCTCCAATAAAGGGATCAAGCAATTCTACGCTTCGAGATATATTGTTCTTGTTTATTTTACTATTGATTGAGTGAGTTGTTTTATTTTTCTTAATCATTATTGGTTGAGCGAAATTTTGCACCTACACTTTGGCGCCGTTTGTGGGAATCGTATAAAAATATACTCCCACTTGTTCTTCAAATCAAATCCTTAGTCGTATCTGGAATGTCAAACGGAGAGTTAGCAATGAATCAACAGATAGAATTGATGCAAAAGATGCGAGAGGAGTTCTTGCACCAATTTGAGACACTCCGGCAAGCAAACGATACGAGTGTCGCCCAGATAGCTGCGCTTCAGCAGCAGACTCATACGCTGCATACGGCAATGGCCAGGCTAACACCACAACCACGACCAGGCGATGCTGCGGCACCACCCCCCACCCAGAATTTACCTCCAGTTCACGAGCCTCCGGCCAACGGGACACCACCCAACGAGGCTTGACCTAATGAGGTTCAGCAAAAGCAAGGGACGAGGTCCGAGGCGGTTGCTTCGGACAATCTCCCTTGCCGCACACAGGACGAACAGGCCGAGTCCAGCCATAGGCTTACGGTATGGTCCAATGGCGTTCCAGATGGTGCACGCGTACAAGATGCCTTCGACGAAAAGAAGCTATTAAGAGTTCAGACACCAGCCGAGATGGCTAGAGAGCACAAGAACTCCTTGGTCAAGACCCCCTTTACTGACGATGTGTACCTTGTGGAGAGACCAAAGAAGTTCACTATGCCATCCTTCACCCAGTTCGATGGGGCAGGAGACCCTCTCGGCATCTCGATCATTATGCGCAAAAGATGGCACTGGACGATCATAACGATCCGTGGATGTGTAAGGTTTTTCCTACCAGTTTAACCGGAGAAGCGTTAGAATGGTTCAGGAATAGGCCACACAAGTTTATCCCTGATTATGAGACCTTGTGCACTATGTTCTTAGCCCAGTGTTGCGGAAATAAGAAGCAGAAGAAAAGTATCGCCAGCCTTTTCACCATAAGGTAAAGGAAGGGAGAAACTCTGCAAGATTTCTTATCCAGGTTTAACATGGAAGCCTCGGAGATAGCAGATTGCCACCCTGCCACGGAAATCGAAACATTTAAGCTGGCAATGATCCAGGGAACCAAGTTTCACACATCCTTGATCAAATATTCCCCCCCGGATATGCAGACTTTGAACGCTAGGGCACAAATCTACATTCGGTTGGAGGAAAACGTAGCCCACCGTGCACAGCACGCTACCCTCGTCACAGTGGAAAACAAGTCTCGAGAGAAAGCTGCAAGCACAAGGATGCAGAAGGTTCCTCATATCGCTACACAAGTCACCCAAGCGCCTGAGAAGAGGCAAAGGACAGAGGACATGCTTACCCCTCTCCGTACTACAGCGCCTATTCCAAGAGAATAAGACGAGGTTCGCAACTCCTCAGCCCATGAAACAACCCTTGGAGCAGAGGGACAAAAGCAAACATTGTGCCTACCATAGAGACTATGGGCATACCACCAATGACTGCAGGTCCCTTCAGCGACAGGTAGAAAGCATGATAACGAGAGGAGAGTTGGTGGAGTATGTCGCCACGAAGGAGTACGTAAAACCTCGGGAGGTTAACCCTCGACGGGTGGAGGGCGGTCAGGTAAAGGTTATCCATACCATACACGGAAGGTCAGAGGATGATGAAGAGTCTGAAGAATTGTACAGATCCAAGCTGAGAGAGGCTCATAAGTTACGAAGATTGTCTTCGATAAACACGGTTGCACCAGGCAGCATCAACATTGGATTCGGTAACAATGATCTGTCTAGAGTCCAGCGCCCGCATAAGGACCCCTTGGTCATCAGCCTCCTGGTAGCGAATTATATGATCAGGAGGGTGCTGATAGATCCGGGAAGTAGCGCCAACATCATTACAAAAGTAGCCTTCGATCAGCTGGGGGTCTCACCATCGTCCATCAGGCCAACTTCTAGCCCCCTAATGGGGTTTGATGGTACTAAGGTGAATCCGCTTGGGGTGATCGATCTATCCGTTACTGCAGCAAAGAGGACTCTGAAGGAGAATTTTGTAGTGACGAAAATTCATCCATCTTATAACCTCATTATGGGGAGAGGTTGGATCCATCGTATGAACGGAGTCCCGTTTACCCTTTATCAAGTAATGAGGTGTTTATCCCCAGATGGCAGGGAGGTCATCGACCTCTGGGGAAACCAGGTTGCTACAAAAGAATGTTACATGCTAACGCTACATGAAGCAAAGAAGGCGTCGAAATCACCTCCGTTAGAGGCGAATCCCAAAGACGCAATCAAATAGCAGTTACTGTATCCTCTGCCCAAGTATCTCAAGGCAGAGGAAGAAGCCGAGGCTGAAGCACCTACCGAGGAATCCCTCGAAGCTATAGAAGTAGTCCTCGGAGACCCTCAGAAAGTCACCTACATTGGCTCATCTTGCATAGCCGAAGAGAAGGAAGCATTGATCAGGGTCATTCGGTGCAATTCGGATATCTTTGCCTGGGATCACTCGGACATGGTAGGGATCGATCCTACGGTCTCATGCCATAGTTTGAGGGTTAACCCAGAATTCAGGCCAGTCAAGCAGAGGCACCGACGGTTTGCACCTGAACGGAATCGCATAATAGCCGAGGAAGTAAATAAACTATTACAAGCAGGATTCATTCGAGAGGTGCAATACCCACAATGGCTCTCAAATGCAGTAGTCGTTCAAAAGAAGAATGGGAAATGGAGGGTATGTGTAGATTATACCAACCTTAACAAAGCTTGCCCAAAAGATAGCTTCCCTCTGCCCAAGATTAATCAAATGGTGGATGCTACGATAGGTTATGAGAGGCTCACATTCCTCGATGCATACTCCGGCTATAATCAGATTCCCATGAATCCTGAAGATGAGGAGAAAACCGCTTTCATCACAGAGACATGCACTTACTGCTACAGAGTGATGCCCTTCGGTCTAAAGAATACCGGAGCCACCTACCAGCGACTTGTCAATAAAATCTTCAATAATCTACTGGGGAATACAGTTGAAGCCTATATCGATGACATAGTGGTCAAAAGTATACGGAAAGAGGATCACCCGAAGCACCTCCAAGAGGTCTTTGATACTCTCAAGAGGTACAATATGAAGCTGAACCCCACCAAGTGCTCCTTCGCCGTCTCTTCAGGACAGTTCCTCGGATACATTGTAAATAAAAGAGGGATAGAAGTAAGCCCAGCTCAGGCAAAGGCACTCATACAGAACCAAGAGCCAAAAACCCACAGGGAAGTGCAAGTTCTAACCGGCCGAATTGCAGCTCTCAGCCGGTTCATATCCCGATTATCTGATAAGTATAAACCTTTCTTTGAAGCTATTCGATCCAAAAACAAAGATATGTGGGGACCTCAGCAGCAGGAAGCTTTCAATCAATTGAAAAGCTACATGACAAAACCCCCAATCCTTTCTGCTCCAACGCCCGGAGACACTCTTATCCTGTACTTGGCAGTATCAGCTATAACAACAAGCGCAGTGTTGATCAAAGAAGGAGGCAAGGTTCAGCACCCAATCTTTTACATAAGCAAAACGATGACGGATGCCGAGACACGGTACAGCAAGACGGAAAAGGTAATCCTGGCGTTAATTTATGCCAAGAGGAAACTTCGACATTACTTTGAATCTCACAGCATAGTGGTACTTACAAATCACCCTATACGGGCTATCCTAGCTAAACCAGACTTGTCTGGTCGAATTACAAAATGGGCTATTGAACTTAGCTCTTTTGACATCACCTATGCACCGAAGGTATCTCACAAGGGGCAGTCAGTAGCGGATTTCCTACTAGAGTATGAAGATCAACCTGAGGAACCGACACTTCAAGAGCCGTACTGGGAGTTACGGGTTGATGGCTCTTCCAACCAGAAAAGGGCAGGGGCCGGGATTGACATCACAACACCCGAGGGTACCAAGCTGCAGTAGTCAATTTTGCTAGATTTCCCAGCTACTAATAACGAGGCCGAGTATGAGGCGTTGCTTACCGGACTTCGGCTAGCTAAACAGCTACAGGTACGGTGTTTAAAAGTTTTTAGTGACTCACAGCTTGTGATCAATCAAGTGACAGGGCACTATTCTCCCAAGGAGGAACGTATGAAGTCATA